TGGAAAGTTGGCTCTGCTTCACTCGGCAGTCAATCTGTCACTCTGCAGCTTAGCAAACTTTAAAATAAATAAATAACTAAAGCAGAAGAGGAAGCGGTGGACGCTGGAGAGTGAGGAGGAGGAGGGAGAGAGAAAGAGAGGAAGAAAGCACCCTTTTCCTTGCGCACGTGTTTTTTGGCAACAAGGAGGCATCACTATCCATCCAGAGGAGGCTACCCATGTGGCAGGACGCTCTGTGGACCCGCGGACGCTACCTGCTGGAGAAGAGCGATGGAGGCGAGGGGCCCGAGGGGCCCGAGAGCCTGGGGGACGGGTGCCCGGGGTTCCAGGGTGAGGTGTGCGCGGAGGGCGAGAAGCCCCAGGACTGGCTGTACGAGTCGTACTACCGAATGAGCCAGCAGCACCCGCTGATCGTGTTCCTGCTGCTGATCGTCATGGGAACCTGCCTCGCACTGCTGGCGGTGTTCTTCGCTTCGGGACTGGTGAGAGTGTGCGTGCATGTGCATGTGCCTGTGCGTGTGTGTGTTAACAGGCTGTCTATGTGTGTGTACAGGGGGAAGTGTTTTGACAGGATTTTAGAGGTGCGGTGAACAATCCACACAGCAGTCCGCGGTTAGTTTGAGTCTAAAAATAAACACAGAGAGAAAATGTTGTCATTGTTGTGTTTGAACAATAGAAACACGAGCACGTGCTCTGTGTTATCGGAACAAGTTCCTGCTTTTGAGGGTTTTTTAGTCACCACAAGGACAGATTGCTTATTAACGGAGTAATTTCAGCCTTTAGCCTTCTTTTTAATAATGAAATGAGAAGATCCAAACCACTCTTGCACACTTGCCGCTTATTATTTCTGCCATGTGGGAAAATGTTTCTCATGTCAAGTGAAAGACTGTTTCAATCAGCCATGGTGCCGATAAGAGTCATTCAGCGTGTTAGTAAAAATATACTGAATATTTATTTCATATTATTGTGTTCAGAGAAACAAGCAGCAGCAGAGGGTCAACAAAAAAGAGACAGGACAGACCGGAGGGTCCTCCCTGTCTGAGTAAAGTTGCGTAGAGCAGTTTTATTTCAGCATTTCCCTTTTGTTTCTCTCTCTCTTTTTTGCATTAGTGCGTTATTTCTGTGTTTGAATCTACCGGCTTAGCGGGAATTTTGTGTGTGGAGTGTATGTTCTTCCCGAGCGGAAAGGGCTCTCTCCAGGTCACCAAGCATCCTCCAAAGGACATTCTTGTTAGGTTATCTGGCTTCTAAGTTAGAAGTAACTATGGATGGCTGTTTCTGTGCGTTAGCCTTGCAGCAGACCGGTGAAGTGTGTGGGGTTTGCCACACTTTTAGCCCCATGAGAGCTCACAGCAGCCCCACTGTCAGTCTGAAGTGGATGAGCAGAAGAAGATTAATGGATGATTCGATGTTTTTTGCCTTTATTAGACATGACAGTACAGAGTAGACGGATAGATCCAAGCATCGATAGTATCAATACCAATGTTGATATTGATATTGGATCAATACTTGATGATGATGATGA